TTTTTAACAGTACAGGAGGAATTCGGTGCACTTAGAGCGGAGTTGCACCTCTCCGGGTCTTGATGCCCTGGAAGTCCAGATCAGCAAGTGGTTTCTGCTTCTGCACCCTTTCAACACCCAGGTGTGAGTTCCCTTTCTTGCAGAAACCAAGGCTCAGGAAGCAAAACAGAAAGGTGGGATCAATCAGTGCACCCCAATTCAGCGTTTGGGCTGCACTGATCTTTCTCTTTCACTTCCCTGTCAGTTATGCTGTGCCACCAGTGACAAGAAGTACTTACAGCACTTCTCTGACGCGTAGCTCTCAAAGTCCTTTACAATGACAGAAAAATCCTTTCCATGTTACAGATGAAAAGACTGAGACTTAGATTTTACGTGCTCTGGGTTAGGGAAGCCTGGGGTATCTTGTGGTCTAGTGGACATCAGTCAAAGCGACTTGCTGTACAGATTTTAAATAGGATGTATAACCCTTCTGTGCCCCAGTCAACCTACAAATAAACTGAAAAATACCAGTCACCGATTCCACAGAACTAGGTCAAAAGACGTGACGTAAGGACAAGTCGGGTTTGGCATTGCATGTCAGCCTCCTGTGAAAACTAAACCTAGCCCCATCCGCCCTAATACAGACCTCCTCGTCCAGGATAATAAATTCTCAAACCGCTGAAACCAGCAGCTGTTGAGCTGCCTTCAACCTCACACTGCCTGCATTCCTTGGGTTACTTATATTACTTTATTACACAAGAATGAGATGTAGGCTTACAACGCCTACAGCGTCGAGAAAAAACACCAAAATAAACTAAATGAGATGTGGGGCCCAATACATTTCATGACAAAGATCTCCCTGAAATTAAGCGGGATGGAATTTCATCTGTGCTGAGCTTCAAGATGACCGGAGGGAAGCGTTTACCTTTCTGAAACAGAGTTGAGAGTTTTGCACTGTGCCCGTTGCTGATTCTCACTGCGAGGGCACGTAACGCAGACCACCTCTGCGAGGCTACGGAGAGAAAATTAAAGTAGCCAGGAGGAACATACCTCTGTGTTTCTACGCCTCACGTGGTGTACATAGTTTAAATGGAAATGCAGCTTTATCTCAGTTTTCAAGCTATTTCCGCGTATGAAGCAACGTCTCGTACCGTAGCATGTTATAAATGTTCTTTTCAGCTCAAGTTGTTAAACTCTGGTTTTAAAAAAATATATAAATATCCGTTTTGGCTAAATTGTCTGACAAATTGTTTTCCACTATAGGCAAAAATTACAGCCCTTGAAAAGTCCAAAACAAACTTAATCTGTCACTGAATTTCACTCACACCAAATGCTATATTTCAATCTCGGCAGAGAAAAAAAAAATAATCTTAAAATAACACACTTTGTCTTTTTTCTAATTATTTCTCGTGTATACAAACATCACTGGGAAAAATTAACTGCTTTAAAAGGTTTGTAAAACAATTGATTCCTAGGATTATAATATAGTGACAACTCTGCCCAATGATAATGTTAGAAGACAGTTTCTTGATAGGAGTGCTGATGCAACTTTAACTCTAGGCACTAGAAAATACTTCTCTAATCCTTTTTTTTTTTTTTAACTGCAAAAATGTAGGAATAAGCAAATAGTTAAGGTGCCCCATTACCCTACAGAACCACAGGTCCTGTCTGGGAGTGTTTGCCTGTAATTACACCTTGCTGAGACAAAGGGAAAGTAGTGGCTATCCATAGCTAAAGCAAACTCTGGTTCTTGATTCAAAAACTACATACAGCCCTTATTTCCACCCCCCCTCTTTCTTTCTTAAAAGAAAGGGGAAAATCTCGTACATTTTGGAGAGCCCATATAAGCTATTTTAAACAAGGTTATGAAACGTGACATTTTAAAGGTGCAAATTAATAGCATGAAAAGAAAATATTGGATACTGGCAACATGTTTTATTTTTTAAAACAAGATTTCTTTAAAATAACAAATAATATCCCCAAGGAAGTAGCAGAAGGCCCCCTCCCTTTAAGACATTTAAAGCTGACTTAACAAAACACTAGCAGGAAAACTATAAACCACATATTCCTAATACTTCAGTCTTTTTAATCTCGAACATGTAGAACTCCATTATTTATAAAGAGATAACTAACAGGGCGTTCAGCAATTATGCGACAATCGGAAAAGCTTACTGCAAATTAATAGTAAAGCAAGAGTACCTGCAAATGATAATACAATACAACAATTTGTGGTCTTCTTATCAATAACAGCCCAGATGTACAGAGTGAGCATTGCAAATTATTGTTTTGAGTTATACTGGCAACATAAGGCAAATCTGACTTTTAAAACGAACACACTTACACAGAAGCAAGTTAGCACCTTAACCTGACTCAAAAATGTTCTTCCTTACTGTTTAACATACCCAAATATGCAAAGTAGTTTAAGAAATACGTATGTGCACGCATACTGGTACACCATCTATTAATCAAAATAATAATGTTGCAAAAATACATCCATACACTATTAAGGAAGTACTAAACATGAGCTTCTGATTGAACAATATTAGATACAGCGTATAAACAATCACCTAACACTGCTTTCAGAAATTCAGACTGTCTGCCATAATGTTTAGTACCTTGTCAAATTTGTGAAGTTTTACATGGCTTTTACCCCACAGTTTTGCATGTTTAAAAAGTAGGTAAGTAGGTACCACACTTTAGTATTTGAAAGCCAAGCAAGCATTTGAAGTTAAATCTAATTTAAAAAAAAAAGTACTTCTACCTTCAGTAAATTGCAGTGCTAAAATATATAGCATTCTAACATCTCTGATTTCATAGAAAAATATGATTGCACCATCAGGAAGGGTTTGATGATAGCGTTTCTGGGTTACTAGAATGCTGTTGTATTGTAACACAGAAACCCACAGATTTTTCTCTCTTGGCTGAAATGCTGAGCCTTTACTGTTGTATTAATATTAACCACATTGATCTTTGGCTTAAAAAAACCAAACAAACAAAGCAAGAATTAGTACCACCAACACACGCCTGCTAAAACTGCTAATTAGATTCCAGAAATCCACCAGCCCCTCCAAATACTGGCCAGAGAACAAAGAATAGCACAGAGACTTACATTCAATGCATTACCACCAGCATCAAATATTTCCAAACTCGATTTATAATAAGCTGTAACTTTATCCAGATGTTAACCAGATGGTCTGGTAATACTATGCCCAAATGTATTTACACAACTTTTTAGTAATAGATTAGCACTCAAAGGTGTACCTAAAATGCCTCAAGAATCTCACATGTTCCTGTTTTGCTTTAATTTATCATTTAAACTAATTTATGTAGGCTGTAAAACTATCTGACTGCAAAACTTTGCTGGTTTGTGTATAAAGAATGCAGAGAAAAAAAATGAATACTCCTGGGTGAGCCGAGTGCCACATCCACCTGAAAACCTGCACCGACTACTCATGATTTCTGTTGGATTCAAGACAGCAACTTTGCTTCTTTCGTCAGCCTTCACCCAAGGCATGTAAAACCACAGCGAGCCCCTTCCCGACATCATCCATAAAACATTGTGTAACAAACCCCGGTCCCTGTTGATACAAGTTTCAATCAATCCCTTTGATATCTGCTTAAAAAAAAAAAATTATATATATAAAAAAGGAGGGTGTGAGTGAATGAGAGAGGTCGTAGGTGTGAGGAAGGAGCGTTTTTATTTCGTTCCCTTCTGCTCAGCAACTTTGTAATCCACTGCCTGCTTTCCTTTCCCCATCTCTCACCCCTGCGCGTTGTTTGGCTGGAAACTGGGCTGCAAGAATGTGAAGAATGTAAACAGCCTTTTATTGTCCAAAAGGATAGGAGTGTGAAAGAAATGTGTGCCTTATCGCAGGGCTGCAGCTCGCTACTTCATTGCTATGATAAAGTGCCGGAGCAAAAAACATTACACGACAAGCACAATCCGAAACCGGATTAGAATTTGACATAAGCTTCCTCAAAAACTAATCAATCAACTCACGCTGTAATATTAGACTCCAGTTCTTAAGGAGGGTGTTTAATCCCTTCAAGGTTTATTACACACTCCCTATCGACTACAGCGACAAACTTTCAGATACAAGCCAGCTGGGGAAGAGAGGCACAACTTTTGCGGCACAAACCAGAGATAATTATGGGAGTAAAACCAAAACTCCCCCCCCGTAACAATTTCCAAATAACGCTTGTTAAAATGAAGATCCCCGAACTCTTTCGCAAATAGATTTCTTTTTTCCTCTCTCTCTTCTTAGCCTCTCCATCATATTAACACGAACATTGGGACCATTTGTTTTCCACCATCGGTGCCCCACAAACGGGACCGTTTGCCGGTTCAGGGACGTGCTCTCCCGGTACCTGTCACCCCCCTTTTGCTTCCCACCCCCCCCTCCCTACACACCTTTGAGTTGGGAAGCCTGCATTTCACCTTCTCAGCCCCCAAATTCCCCCTCCTCCCCCTCTTTCCCTCCCCCCTATGCAAAACATGTAGCATAACACAGGTACGTGCGACGGTTTATCATAAGAAAAAAAAAAATTAATCAAGGCGGCTGGGGCGCGCTGCAGCGAGCCGAAAACTACCGAGGGAGCTTTCAAACTCTGCCGGCACATCCCGCTAGGTCGGGTACACGAAAAGAGGCGCTTGAGGACCGGGGGGGAAACTTTCCGGGCACGGAGAGCTCGGGGTGACACCGGGCACCCACCCCCGGCTCCCGGAGCATCCCCCCGCCGGGGCATCCCCTCCCGGCTCCCCGGGGCCGCTCTTTGCCCGGGCACCCCAGGTCCCCGCCGTCCCAAAAATACAAGCCCGCCGAGCCGCAAACACCCATTTTAAAAAGACCTGGTTTTTTGTTTTAAAAAAAAGAAATAAATAAAAATTAGAAGCCGGGTGCGGACGGGCTGCTGGGGGTCAGCCCCTGCCTTTGCCTCCCCGCTCCCGCCGCCCTCCCCGCCTTCCCGGGGGCCGGTTCCCCCGCAGCCTTGCGGGCAGGGGGCCGGGGAAGGAGACTTACGAGCTGGAGGAGGCCCTGGACCACGACGAGGGGCAGGGGCCGCAGGTGCACCATCCTGGCTGCCGGTCTAGGAGGCGACTCCCCCCGCCTGGGTCTCGCACATCTCCGCTCCGAGGAGAAGGAGGAGGAGGAGAAGGAGGAGGAGGAGGAAGAAAAGGAAGGAAGGAAGGGAGGGAGGGGGGCAGGACCGAGCGCAAGGGACACACCGCCCCGCTCGTCGCCCCTTCACGGCGGAGAGACCCCGGCGGCGCTGCCCAGCCGCTCCGCGCCGTGCCGCTGGGCTCCGCGGGCGGCCATGGCGGGGCGGGAGGCGGGAAGAAGAAGAAGAAGGAGAAGGAGAAGAAGGCGGGAAGGGCGGGCGGCCCCAGCACCCCCCGGCGGGGCGGAGGGACGTGGAGGAGCGGGGGGGGTGTGTGTTGGTGGGTGTCCCCTCACCGCCCGCCGCCGACCGACGGGGCGGCAACGTCCCGGCCGGCGGAGCCCGCCGCCCCGCTGCCTTCCATGGGTGTCCGCCCGAAGTTGAGGAGAGCCGGGGGCGCTGAGGAGACCCCGGGTGGGGCGGCTCGGCCCACCCCGGCAAGTTTAAAAAGCAGCCACGGCCCCTCCTCCGCCCGCGGCCACCCCCTGCCGCCCTGCCCGCAGGGGAATGGTGGCCCACGGGGACACGGCCCGGCTTCGTCGCCTGTTGAGGCGGGGGGGAAGCCACCTTCCCTCAGGGAGCCTCCGCCGCCCGGCCGCTGGCCTCCCCCTCTGGTGTAAAAGGAGAGACAGGTGAAGGGTTTGGCTTCACCTTCACCCCTCGGTCTGGTTTTCACAGGAAACCCCCTGTCACGGCTCCATTTCCCTCAGGCAGACCCACAAGCGGATGGGCGGCCACAGCCCTTCTGGGGGAACTCACCATGGTTTTTCTGTGAGGAGACATGGTGGGACGGCCAGGCCCCGGTGGCATGACCTGGCACCAGCCTGCCCTGCCCTGCCCTTGGTCTGCCCTGGGGACACCTGGCAGCTGGGGATGGCATCCCCTCAGGTGGACACGGGGACAGGGACAAGTTCAAGTGGGCTCCTCCTCGAGTGGGGCTTCAGCTGGGCCAGGGAGAGGGGAAGAGGGAGCAAGGCCTGAGGAATGGCGCCTGGGCAGGCTGGGAGCCCAGGGCGCCGTAGAATCCACGTCCAAAGAAGTCACTCAGGTTATACCCACTTAATAACATAAATTAATACGCTCTAGACCCATTTTTGAGATTGGTATGAACAGCCTGAAAAGTTGGTTCCTGTGCTTTTCTAGGAGCGATGACCTTGCAACGCCGTTGAAGCAACCTTCAAAAGGCAAATGAAGTTTGGAGTGCAGGTTTCCCTCCGACCCAGGCCGCCTTCGGTGCCTGTGCCTCCTGCACCGCCTGGCACTGAAGCAGTAGCACCATCAGCCATAATGGAGACGCTGGTGTCCAGCCTGGCAGTGCCGGCGTTTGGCTCATCGGTAATGCACACGCAATGAAATACACAAACTCTCTGCCAAGGGGCTGAAGGAGAGGTGGTGGTTTCAGTTTCCAAACCCTGCCCTCTTCCAGATTACTTCCCTCTTAATTCTCAGTTGTCCTGTCTCATCTTCTTACTGGGCCCATGTTTGGGTTACATTTTGACTACCTCTGTGTTTTCAACCACTAAAATCCTTGCCTGTGGAAACAGCTCTGCAAGTCCTTTCATTGCACTTGAGAGCAACCATGATTTTACCAGACATGATCACAGTTATTTAGTTGTTAAATCCCACTGGATCCTTTCCTAGCCCTAGGTGTCTCATAAAACGTATCCTGTGGATGCGATCCAGCCACAAATCATGTTAGAATCATAGAACTGTCTGGGTTGGAAGGGACCTTTGGGATTGAGTCCAACCATCAACCTAACGTTGCCAAAACCACCACTAAACCACGTCCCCATTGGATTCAGAAGAGATGCTTGTTCTATAGCAAATATATAGCAATAATATATATATGATCTACATATAAACTGAACAACTCTAAAATGGGTTCATTTGCAGCTGATTCAAAGATGCAGAGGAAAAAAAATGAAACAGTAATGGTCACTGAGTCAATATATTATAAGATAATTCATGTGATTGCTTTTTGTAGCACTATTTAAAAGTTCTTTTTAAAGTGTTTATCTTGGTCTTCAGCCTGTTGTGCTGCCATTTGATTTTATCTTTAATATTGAACGATCAGCATAAAATATTCTAGGATTTACCGATTAGAATTTAAATGCAAAAATTGTCTTTGCATCCTGGTTGGAAAATAGTTAAATGCCGCTATGTGTATGTTTAATATTGAAAAATGATACGTATCCTGTGGATGCGATCCAGCCACAAATCATGTTAGAATCATAGAACTGTCTGGGTTGGAAGGGACCTTTGGGATTGAGTCCAACCATCAACCTAACGTTGCCAAAACCACCACTAAACCACGTCCCCATTGGATTCAGAAGAGATGCTTGTTCTATAGCAAATATATAGCAATAATATATATATGATCTACATATAAACTGAACAACTCTAAAATGGGTTCATTTGCAGCTGATTCAAAGATGCAGAGGAAAAAAAATGAAACAGTAATGGTCACTGAGTCAATATATTATAAGATAATTCATGTGGTTGCTTTTTGTAGCCCTATTTAAAAGTTCTTTTTGAAGTGTTTATCTTGGTGGTCTTCAACAATGTTGTGCTGTCATTTGATTTTATTTTTAATATTGAATGATCAGCATAAAATATTCTAGGATTCACCGATTAGAATTTAAATACAAAAGTTGTCTTTACATCCTGGTTGGAAAATAGTTAAATGCTGCTATGCATATGTTCAGTATTAAAAAATGATTTTTTTTTATGGTACTGAAATCCCATTTTTGCCCATGTAAATGAACCCGCTGGTGCCTTAACCGTAAGGAAGGGCCCCATTGGGTTGACCGAGGGTCTGGTAGGGAGCACCCTGTGCCGGGATGAGCCAGGGAGGTGGGAGTTTTACCCTCTGCCGGCCTCGGAGGAGGGTAAATGGAATAATAATAAATAAATGGAAATATCTTGGGCGCTATCTGCTGCTGGCAGGCGGTACTGCCCGCCAACCCAGCGCGGAGACTCACTCCCCTGCTTCATGACGAATTGCATTATGCAGCCGGGTGAAAAGACTGTTATGCAATTAGTTAGAATTATGAAGACTAAATTCGGATGAAGCATTTAGATAGATTTTTTTTTTCTTTTTGAAATGAAAAGCTGCGCTCTATAAATTCGAGGAAAGCTGAATTTCTGTAATTGGCTTTTAATGGAACAATAGCCTTTAAACTAAAGTACTGGAGTTCTATCCTATTAAATACAAACAGGCTCGATTTAAATGACATTAACTTTGTCACACAAGCTATCAGAAGCTGGCCTTAAATCATACTTTTTCAAGATTAACTAGCAGTAAATGTTTGTAAAGCGCTTTGAAGATGAAAAGCACCGTGCACAGTAAGTGATAAGTATTATTGTTATTTGTATTACTTCCCAGAAAAGTCACAGTAGTGCTGGTTAAGAAAAAGATGTAAGGCCTGAGCTTTGCATTCCCTTGCTTTGGCGTGTTAGCATGATCTTCAAATGTCATTTAAATGGTGAAGGGAAAATTTTCTGGTCTAATTTTTAGGCACAATAACAAGTAGTAGGTTCATCTCAGGAAATAACAGTTGTATAGTGCAGGAAGTAATCCATATCTCTCTAGAAATGGATTGATGAGCCAGCTGTGGAAAAATTAAATTTAGAGCTCAGGGTCCTACTAAACCATCTCAGCTGCTACAAGACAGCAAAAAATATCTGATTAACACACGATCTCTAATGCTTGTGCACAAAGTTTATAGTAATTTTTATTCCTTTATCAAGTAATTTATAAGCACAAACAAGTAAAACCTGTGGTTAGCATCAAATCCATCTGTCATTCAACCTCAATTCAATTTTCAAATCTTATTCCTCTGCGTTAACTTAAAACACTGACATCAACCTTTGTTCTTCTTAGTCTAAGAACCTTCATTCTGTTTCCAAATATTAGGAACACTGGACTGGAAAGAGCTGCTTGTGCCGTTCGGTCCATCTCCCTGGACTGTAGACAGTGAAGTGTAGGTTCTTTTTGGAAACTCTTCAAAATCCGTCTTCCATAGCTAGTTAGGAGTGGGGGTGTTGTCCCATGCTGGGTTAGGAAACTGTTCCAAAAATTCACTCCTCTGGCATATGACAGCCTTCTAACTTCCAGTGTCCAGATTCACTGTGTTTGGTATTTGGTTTTATGCACACTTGTCCTTTTGCAGTCACTGCTTTATTTTAATGAGCTCTTCTTCCTCCTTCTGCCAATATGTAGCTCCAAAAGTTTATAAGGTACAGATTCCCTCTCAAATTTTATATGTGAGCCAGGCAATAGCGCTCCATTTTCTGTGTTAGTCTGGTAAAACTTTTCTTTTGTCTATTCCCATTGGAATGAATCTTTTTGGAATGTGGACGAACTTCCAAATTTAGATGTTAGTAGGCTTGTGGAACATCGTTAATGCCTGATCTATCTCTCTTGGAAATATATTCTCTGATACGTGGTGTTATTGTTTTTTCATTTTCAAGAATACACCATGAATACATTTTCTCTGTTCCAGTTGTTTCAATATGTTATCCAGATCCTTCACACTACTGACTGCCTACCGGTTCTGTGTCACCATCATATTTCAGTAACGAGGTCCTAAATTTTATGCTGGAATTTCTAATTAATTTATTGAATAGTAACGCTCCCAAGATCAATCTTTGGTGAACTCTATTAGTTATTTCCTTCCAAACCTTGAATACAACCTGTTAAACCATACCTTACCCTCTTCACCACTTTTTCCTAATCACCGACTCCAGCCTATCTAATTTTTTCCCACAGGACAGCCAATCCCATTTTGATTGAGGTCCTGATAAATGACTCTATTTCATTTGTCTAGAAAATTAGTAACCTAATAAAAGGCAGGTAATGAAATATTCATCATCCTAGAATAATCTGCCTTCCTGGAAAAAAACAAACTCAAACCAAAACCCCAACAAATTTATCCCATTTTCTGTTTACCCAAGCCTTTTTTTTTTCCGTCCTTCAGATTGCTTTCAGCAGCTTTGCATATTTCTAATGCTCATGTTTGCTGATACTGTCTTTCTCTTCCTTTCCATATCCTTAGGAATAAGAAGTGCCTTTGCTGTTCTACATATATATACCATTCCTGGTTTTATAG